CGTTTCCGATTCAAACGCTGGAGGTTCTGAGTTCGAATCTCCGCCAAGAAATTGAAAAATATTAAGTAGTTAATCTGGAATTATAATAGCATTATGTATTGTAATAAAAATGTGTATGTAAAAATAATCAGAATGTATAAAAGTAAGAAAAATTTAGAAAATGAAATGAGAAATATAGTAGAAAAAGAGAAAGTGTATAGAAGACGAAATGAGAAGATAGTAAAGAAGAAGAAAGAAGAATGAACATAAGTTAAGAAGTATATAAAGAATATGATTATTTGGAGAAGATAGTATAATATTGAAAATTGTATAAGATATATGATTGTATAGAATAATGTAGGTGGCTAAATGCTCGAGTAAGCGAGGCCAATAAAATAAAATAAAATAAAATAAAAAAAATTGAATTTGATTATTTGAAATTTTGCTTGAAATTATTTAATATTAAATTGTTCAATTTAAATTTTTCTAAAATTTAAATACTTACTTCTAGAAATTTATTCACTATGATGGTGAGTTTATACTTTTTTAAACAACAGTTATTTTTCACAATTAAATAGTTAAAATATTTATCACTCGACGTACTTGGTGAGGCATCTGTTGCTTTAAAATCTTAACGACTCAATTGTAGTCTCTATAATTTGATTAATTAGAATTAAAATCAGGAAATCACCTAATATGTTGTTTAGTTTAGGAGACCTTAATAAATATAATTGTTAGGTATCGGTTTTGTAATTGTCTTGTAATTGTCTTGTAATTGTAGATGTAATATACAATTGTTAATTTTAAGTTAAAATTCATATTTTTTTCTATATAACCGTTATAAATCGTACATGTGATTGGGGTAAAAAAGCATCAACTGATCTTTAAACTTCGCAAAGATGTAAACAATAAAAAAGTACACAAAAATGTAAATTTAACTCAAAAAACAATTTTACAAAAAATTAATTAAAATAATTCTATTATAATTAGAAAAATAGTAAAAAAACATATTTCTATAATTAGGCATTATCTGAGAATTTTATATTTACTGAACATAGTATAATAGTTATTTGTGTTATGTGTTTTGTTGTAATTTAATTAGTTTAGGCAGTATAATTACTTAAAGACAAATTAGAGCATTTTAACCCGACCTACCCTATTCTAGTCTAGACGCATGAATTTTTTGTATTTTTTTAAAGGCCGTGAGAAGGTAAATATTTTTACTATCGTTTAGGTAATTAAATAATAATTTAAAAATACAGAAATAAAATAAAAATTAGAAAAGTCATAAATCTAGCTAGCAAAATGGTAGTGGGTCTCAAAAATTGTCACGTACCCATGATAGGGGTAAACCTTTCAGAATTTGAAGAAAAAAATATCTAGAATATTGTCGCATTTGTATAAACAGCGGACAAGAACAAAGATTTTTCTTTCGCAAATAGCGACTGTAAAAACATTTTTTTTTAATATTGTCGTATTTTTTTAAAATGGTAAAAGTTGAAATTTGGGGATGAGCTTAGTTTATTCATGATGAAAAGTCTATAAAGAAGAAAAAAATTCAAGTAAATCAGTTCAGTACAAGTTGAGAAATCGTGGGTACCGTATCAAAAAAGATAGTTTTAAGAAAAATGTGTTTAAAGTTTTAAATAAACTATGTAATTCTTCATTACGTGTCTAATCAACTTGATTATACGACGTTCATTTACTATGTATTATCCTTTAGCCGAAATTACATATATACATATCCTACAGGTAAATAGAGATCGGACACTTTACCCTGTGACACATATGCATCTAATCGATTCCTACCGCCAGCAATTTACTACAAATCAATGACTATGTGAGGGAAAATCGCAATCACAAGGTAAGCTTTTGTTATTTCTAGTAATTTTAAGAATACATTTGCACGAGGTACGGCTTGACTTTTTAACGCGTTTCATTGTTTAGTAGAAGAAATGTTTAAAGAACGTTGTTTGTAACAATCGCATTATCCTTTACCGAGGCCCACTCTAATTTATTTATTATCGCTGCTGCTTGTGAAGCTAAACAACAGTTTCGACGCATCGGCCGCGCAATTAACGTGCGAAAATAAATCGCAAAGCACCGGTCGGCTGACTGACCGCCGCCGTCAAATTGCAGCGTATTCGTTTACGGCAGCAACCGTCGTATAAATCATTCCCGAAATGGACATTAATTTTTGATTGCTGCGGGATTGCCAAAAACTAACGCCCAAACGGCACCCTACATTGTTGCACGTGTCACATCGCACGCAATAACCGCGACGTGACCGCACGAATAAAACTCGCTATTTATTTATCACGGATTTTCTGGAATGGCATTAACGTCGAAAAACGTTGTTCATGTTATTTTTATCAAAATTACCGAACTCACGTACAAGCGTGAAGATTGCTTTCCAAACATTTAAAATTCTTTTACGCAATTGTGATAATATTTTGGCTCGGCTCGTGTTGATACAATAATAAGTATAATTGAATCGTATCTTGAAAATTTGATTTAATATTATTAAAATGTTAGATTATTATGACGAATAGAGCTAATTATGTAGAGAATACAGATTTATAAAATATTGGTTTTAAACCAAGAAGCAAAACGAGTGGAAAGTGTCAACTTCCCGAAATGTGTAATAATTGACCTATAATTAGTCAACTAAAATGAGTCAAATATTCAGATAAAATTTGTAACTGTTTATTTCAAAAATAAAGTTTTCGCTTCCGCTTCCACTTAATTCTAAACATTGGTAATTCCAAATAAATTTTCTCAAACACATTTAATTTTCTGTAATTATATTAATTATAGTGCACAGGCACGTGTGCTTGTATGTCCTAAAACTGTAGCCTATTATTATAAATTTTAATTAATTTATATAATTAAACTAATTTGTAGAACGCCACTATTTTTTTCAAAGGTTGATGATTTTTTAAAAGTAAACTTTTTACGTAGGGCCGTATTATTTTAGTATGTTTTATAAGGCCATATCTGTTACCAAAAACAGTTTCATAAAAATTGTCGAAAGAAAAGATCTTAGATAACCGTGTCTTTCTGACTCAGCTTCATAACACACAAGTGACGTTGCAGTTTTTGTGTAAAACGCCTGAATGCACAGCAAATAAACGACATTTTGACATTATTGAGTATAATTCAGTAGTATAATATATGCAAGTTGAACCATAACATTGGCATGTTATGCAGCGGAATCGGTCCCTAAGTCTCGTTTATTATGTATATATTCGACTTTGGTAGATCAGCCCACTTGGCATACTTGCAAACCTCTAATATTTTATTAAGAATTTTATTCTGTGACCTATGCAAAATGTTTGTTGATTTGACTTGAGCTACCCCGAAGAAAAATGCCGTATGTTGTCCATATTGACTTTAAGTCTATTTTAATTTTATATACCACAATCTTCTAAATTGTTGGAACGTACTTCGTTCCTTATGTTCGTTTATTATGTGATTTTCCAGGTCCAAAGTCTGGCCAAATGTTTAAATTCATAACAAAGCGGATTTTGTTGAAACTTTTAGGTAATGAATTTATAATGTCTTGTTTTCTTTTCATTCAAAGCTTATTCATTAGCATTACGTTTCAAAGGTTTCTGAATATTTTGGCATACTTTAGAAAAAAATGATGTAGGTGTATGTGCGTGCGTGTGTGTGTGTGCGGATACAAATTTTCGTCGCAATTTTGGGAACACCGATTTGAATAATTCAAAAAACATTCGATTCGTATTGATAAGAAGACATGTTGATTAGATTTTGGCAATGGCAGGTCTAGCCGTTCCGAAGATACGGGGCAAAAAGTACCAAAAATGGTAACTCAGTTTTTAAGAGAAAAAGGTCCGATTTTAATAATTCAATAAACATTTCACTTGTATTGACAAGATGAAGAATTGATCAAATTTTCATAAAGGCAGGTCTAGCGGTTTCGGAGATCTAATGAAAAAAGTAAAAGAAAAATGCCATTTGGCGGTCAAAAATGATCATTAGACATATGCACATCAAATTATTAGATATTTTATAGAGATTTTAAAAACAAGTATAAATTTTGTTTACATTTTTATTGGTTCCGTACCAATGTTTATTTGTTAGACGCGCGACGCGGCACTTACGTGCTTCGAGATTTTGTCTCTATACAGTTAAGCAGTACGATTGCTTTGAAAAAAAAGCTCAGAATTTCCAAAATATGTCAAAATAAAAAAAACATATTTTTTTAAAATTTTTAGAAAAAAAGTAATTTTTTGACAAATTTATAGTTTCTCAAAAATCTAATTTTTTTGAAGTAATTTTTTTTCAAAAATGTTAATCGTTTTTAAAAAAATAAGTTTTAGTATGGGAAGTTCCAGCAATTTGCCTTAAGGCCCGATGCCATGCGCCCCACTAGTATTTACTTTTTATCACATTACACAATAAATTGCAGTATTCCCTTATTACAAAATTATCAATTTTTAGTTGAAAAAATTAAACAATTCGTATTTTTTCAAGTAATTTCAAATGTATAGTTTTTCATAAATTCATACATTCTGCAAGATAAATAAAACATCTTAAGATTATATTAAGAAAAAGTTTAATGAATATATGGCACAATTTAAAATAAAATTATTCAATAATGTCCATTTAGTAAATCCAACCCGATAAATCGCAATCCATATAAACATAATCTGTACGACTTCTGTATATTAACAAAAACTAAATTTATGAAAAGTTTTGAGTTAAAAATGTATCGTAAAACTCTAAATAAAACAAAATAAACAAAAATTAAGATTTCTTAAATCAACTTTAAAAAATATGAATTGTGATTTTTTGAATGAGTTTTACTAAATATATTAAATTCATAACTGCATACCAACATATGTATATCAAAAATCAAGATTATCTGGCATTAAAATTAATTAGTCTTCACAGTTTAATCTGCAGCATTTTTTAAAGGAGAAGTTGTTCTAGTTCTATCAAGAGACACAGCTCCACTATCATCACTGCTAACAGTCTTCTTTAATTTCCTATTTTCAGTTTTTTTTTTGCGTTTTTGTATTGGGGAAAGTGGCAGTACGTTTTGGATCAAAATGGGAGTCCAATATCTCTAATAAATCATGTTGTTGATCTTTTCTTGTAATTTTCAAATTGGTCAATTCCTTTATTAGGCCTTGTTTTCCATCTGTTTCATATGTACTTTTCATGGTATTATAATCAGATTTGCCTTCAGCCAATACTGATCTTAAAGCATTTATGTGCTGAATATCCCGATAATTCATTTTGCCCGCTGCACTAAATATTGGCTGAAATGAACTGCTTCTTTCAGCTACTTTGCGCAGTTCTTTCAGTTCACCTAATTCTACAGAAGTAGGATAAGAATACAGGCGAACTACTTCTACCATGTTGTCTAATATTACACGATTTGGATCTTCAATACCAGCTGCTAAGTCCTTTTGTTTACCTTGACCAAGATGTTGAGCTATTTCCCAAATAATTTTTGCTCTATTTGAAGCATTATCGAATTGTTCTTTTTGATCTAGTAAAACTCTAGATAAAACTTTAAGGTTAAAAGACTTCATGGTAGTTGAACATTTCTTTTCGGCTAATTCATGTCCATTTGCAAAACCCTTAACAATTTCATTAAACTTTCCAAGTAAATCGTAACGTTGGAGAGCTTGTAAGAGCATGTAAGATTTAACATACAATTAAAATTTACAATTTTCTTAGGTTCATGGAATATGAGAATTACACCTGCTCCATCTGACTCTGAGTTGACTTCTTCTAACCAATTCAAAAAATCTAATAACCCAAATATTTCTGACTTCGTTCTTATAACCTTATTGTTTATATTGCTTCTCAAAACTCTAAAACGGTCATCAGATGTAACACGAATATTATGTCTTCGTTTAACACTTGGGTTTAAATTTGCATATGGCATGATGTATTGGGAAAATTGTCTATTTAAATTGTACGCTGCTATATGAAATATTTCATCTGTTAACCTCCGTCTAGTTGTATCCATATCGCAACTGATAAGACAGTATTTTCCTGCTGGAAGGCATTCAGGCTTATGCTTTTTGCCTTCTGTAGCTTTCTTACTCTCTGGCTTCACCATGTTGTCCTTACTTTGATCACCTCTGAAACGTTGTCAAATATTTTATATGTAAGAAAATAATCAAACAAGGTGAGTTTAAAAGTCAATCGTATACTTGTTCAGAGCTTACCGAATCATTGTTACAACGGTAAACATTCCCCGATCAATTAATTTTAGAATGAGATTTGATTTCTACTCTGTATTTGTTTATCGAACGACAGATTGCGAGTTTGTCATTTGTTTTCAGAACATTGTACAAAAAATATATTCAGCATCATCTGTCTACATATTTAATATTGTGAAACTTAATAAGCATCAAGCTTTATATTAACCAGACATATCAATATCAGTTTGATAGATTTGTCTTTAATTTCTACTTTCATTTTATTTAATAATTTCTTAATCATCATACGGATTAAGAATTCAGAAGTAAGTAAGAAAGAAATAGATAATGAAATTCATATGTAGAGTTACACTCGAACCATTATTAAGAAGTTTTCAACGTAGGAAAATGTACACCGAAAAATCAAAAAAAATTAATTTAAAACTAGCTGTAAGTGGAATTCTGTCTTAAGGCAATTAAGGCATCGTGCGTTAAGGCAAATTGCTGGAACTTCTCGTACCAAAAATTATTTTTTTGAAAAATAATTAAAAATTACATTTTTGAAAAAAAATTACTTCGAAAAAATAAGATTTTTGAGAAACTATAAATTGGACAAAAAATTACTTTTTTTTTGACTGCATAGGGTCAAAATATAAAGCGCGTAAGCGCCGCGTCGCTGTCTAACGCATAAGCATTAGTACGGAACCCATAGGAATGTTAACAAAATGTATACTTATTGTTAAAATCTCTATAAAATATCTGATAATTTGATGTGCATATGTCTAATGATCATTTTTGACCGTCAAATGGCTTATTTTTTTACTTTTTCCCCCATATCTCCGAAACCGCTAGACCTACCTTCATGAAAATTTTATTGATTCTTCACCTTGTCAATACAAGTGAAATGTTTTCTGAATTATTCAACGGACGCTCCGTTCTCTTAAAAACTGAGTTACGGTTTTTGGCACTTTTTGCTCCGTATCTTCGGAACGGCTAGACCTGCCTCTGCCAAAAACTAATCAGCACGTCTCCTTATCAATACAAATCGAATGTTTTTTGAATTATTCAAATCGGTTGATCCGTGTTCCCGAAATCGTCGACGTAAATTTGTATCCGCACATACATACACACACGTACATACATATATACATACATACATACATACACACACTCACACACACACACACACACTTACATCCATTTTTTCTAAGGTATGCCAAAATGTTCAGAAACCTCTGAAATGTAAAGATATATAAAAATTTTCATTTTCGATTTTTTTTGCGATTACTATAACTTACCCTACGGGAAGTTAAAAATGGAGTCTTGTAAACGTACACATGAGTTGTTTATAAAATACGCTCATCGCCCAATATAAAATAACTTACAAATTTACAGCATGTATATATAATAATAATCTTCAAAACAATTATTGATTATTTTCATTCTTCGAATATTTAATTACGGTACGGGAATTTCCAGCAATTTGCCTTAAGGCACTATGCCATGCGCCCCACTATATTACGATTTTATTTTAATGACGGATTTTTATAATTTGAAAAAAACTCATTTATATGTCGGACTCCACCGTAGCTATGAGCAATGGACTTCGAAAGCCTGATGTCAAGCAATAGTGACTACGGTTTTTACTTGGAAATGTAGATAGCAATGTAGTTCTTCAAAGTAAAAATAGCTTTTACCGGACATTTCAGTAATAATGAAAAAAATTATGAGTATATTCACGTGGCGATAGTTCAACCGGTTACCATCAATAAAAAGCGTTGGAAAAGTCGATGCAACAGCTCATTAAGTTTTGAGTACTATTAACATATTTTTTAAAAAAATGTGATTATTAAAAAAGTATTCTAAGTAATGTGTATAACAATAATATATTATAATTAAAAAATTACAGTTTTCATCAGTTTTTAAACATTATGTATTTGTTACAGTGATACTGATGAAAATAATAAATTTTTAAATATTCGTAGAGTTTATTGGAATAACGTGTGAATATGCAAAACATATTTTTTATACGTTGCAATGTGCAATAACGGTAAAAATGTACTAAAATCATTACTTTCAATTCGCTATGATTGTCACGCTTCGTATATTTTTATTTATTAGCGTAAAATAAATTTGCTATATGTATATTACATCCATTAACATAGATTCAAACGTACGTTCAAATGCAGTATTTTTCAATTTATTGTATTTTTAGGATTCAGTGGGAAGCGTTGAATCGAAACACTATTGTTCCCGTATTATATTTGTTTCATCAGCTGCTAGTAGTTTCATCTAACTCATACCCACTTTGTCAGTGATAGATAGTTAATAAAAACAACGATAGTTAGCTTTGAAATGTAGAATATTATTTGGGGGAAAAGATTTTTTTGTGGAAATGAATTTTTATTGTAACTTCTATAGATATGTTGAATTCAATGCAATAGTTTAAATAGTTTTAATAGCATCGATTTTACGAAATAATAGCTCAATCAATACAAAATGAGTATATTTCCTTACCGAGATAACATTGTATATAATCTTGATCTTATTCGTACCGTATTTCGTATTTCGTAGTTGGATTAACGATTTGTTTAACATATGTCGTGTAAAATTGTTTTTTTTTAAACTAAATTTACATTTTTATTCACTATTTTCTATTGTTTACACCAGGGTAAAGAATCAGTTGGTTTTCTTTACCCCACTCACGTGTAAGCTTTTATAGAGGTTATATAAAAGATGGTTGAATCTAACTAAAATTATCAACTCATCTTATAAAACAATTAAAGTGCACTTAAAATTATATTAAGGTTTGTTGCAAATTAAGATTTTTAATTTAATATTAAATTCGTGGCAAACTTTATAAATTATATTTCAAACAATGTGCTGGATCTTCTTGTTTTTGAAATATAATCGATTTTTGTTTTGAATGATTAAATTTGTTGAAAAACTTTGTGTCTTCTGAAAGTGCTGATTTTCGTTGAAAATTAATATATTTTATAAAAATAAAATATTTAAAATACTAAATTTTAATATTAATGGTGAAAGCTTTAATCGATATGTATGTTGAATAAACAACGTTTATATATTATTTTATACTTGTTATGCTCAATCAATTATCATTAGTTTTAGAGAATGTTTATTAATTAATTAAGTTTATGTTTTATTAAGTTATTGCATTTAATTTAGTTTGTTTTTGTTTTTGGATATGTTAATTATATATTTTCAATTATAATTTAATTAACTGATTTGCATACTAAAATTAACTTGCAAAATATGCAGCTAATTGAAAAATTAATTCAATATTTCAGAACAATGTAAAGATACGCAATGATCACCATCTCATCATCAAATGTGTATCTGTGTGTATAGTAACATATGATTTACTAAGCAAGTAATGACGATTATTAAATATTATGATTTGTTAATATTCCTGCCACAAAATTCTGCGCATGTAGCTCGATATTGTTATTCAAGTGTGGAGAATTTCAAATATTTCGTTATAGTTTTTGAACATTTTCTTGCGCTCCAGAAAATTCCAGTAAGGCTAATTTAAATATGCAAATAAATGAATGTGCGCTGTTACCTAAGTGGCGGGTCCTTAAATTTGCATGCGAATATTTTGCGGGAATTGGCTTAGAGGGGGGGCGCTGAGTACATTTTTTCTGGAAAGGGGGCGGTAGATGAATAAGTTTGGGAATCACTGCTGTAAACTTATAATTAGGCGACCACCGTATTCTACAAACAACTTTGTATATGTTTGTAGGAAATTTGTTCTTTTTATTTGAGGTTTAGATTTTTTTGATGATTTAGAATTTTTTTCAAAATTTTGAAATTTTTTAACTTTTTTAAAAAAAATTTCTAATTTTTTGAGATTTTGGAAATTTTTGAAAATATTCGATTTTCTTGAAAATTTCGAAATATTCTCAAATTTTTGTAAGAATTTTTTTTTCAATTTTGATATTGTATGTGTATTATAAATGTGTGTGTGTATGTGTGTGTAGTGTGTATGTGTATATGTGTGTTTGTTGTGGTGTGTGTGGGCGGATACAAATTTTCGTCGACGATTTCAGGAACATCGATCAACCGATTTGAATAAATCTAAAAACATTCGTTTCGTATTGATAAGGAGACGTGCTGATTAGTTTTGGCGAAGGCAGGTTTTAGACGTTCTGAAGATACGGTGCGAAAAATGCCGAAAACGGTAAGTCAGTTTTTAAGAGAACGGAAGGTCCGATTTTAATATTTCAAAAGCATTTTACTTGTATTGACAAGATTCTTTTTTATTTTTTTATTTACTTTATTCTGCAATCTGTTTTACATGAGCATTAACATTAAGCAGAGATTGCTAACAATAGTTATCTTACTATATAAACCAGAAGATAGTAGCAACACCCAGCGGCGTCTCTATTAGGTATAAGGACTCGAAGTATTTGCTGATATTTTTATTATATGTGCAACTATACCCACGAGAGGCGATTTTCACTACAGACCGATCAGCCTCCTCAACACAATGAGTAGGGTAGCCGAAAATGTACTATTCAAAAGACTTAACAAACACATAAGACACAACAAAATCATACCTGGCACACAATACGGTTTTAAAGAACGACACTCCACACAACACCCACTGACAAAACTCATAGAAAATACAGTTCTCAATTTTAACAGACGAAACCATACCGGATTGGTGTTACTCGACTTTGAGAAGGCGTTTGACACCATCTGGATGGACGGACTTATACATAAACTTATCCAACTCAACTTTCCACTATACATTACAAGAACATAACACTCATATCTTTCAGACCGTAACTTTACCGTACAAGTAGACAACGGACTTTCGGCGATTAAACAAGTGACGGCGGGAGTACCGCAAGGCTCGATCCTGGGCATCACGTTACTGACGTTTGCTAACGAC